AATTCTCATTCTTCACAATGTTATCCATAATTTGTTATGATCCACAAAGTCAAATGCCTTTGCATAGTCAATAAAACACAGGTAAACATCTTTCTAGTGTTCTTTGCTTTCAGCCAAGATCCATCTGACATCAGCAATAATATCCTTCATTCTACATCCTCTTGTGAATCCAGCTTGAATTTCTGGCAGCTCTCTGCTGATACACAGCTGCGACCATTTTTGAAGTATTTTCTGCGAAATTTTATTTGTGTATGATATTAATGCTATTGTTTGATAATTTCCACGTTCTGTTGGATCACCTTTCTTTGAGATGGGTGTAAATATGGATTTCTTCCAGTTGGTTGGCCAGGTAGCTGTCTTCCAAATTTCTTGGCATAAATGAGTGAACACTTCCAGCACTGCATCCATTTGTTGAAACATCTCAACAGGTATTCCATCAATTCCTGGAGCTTGTTTTTTGCCAGTGCTTTCAGTGCAGCTTGGACTTCTTCCTTCAGTACCATTGGTTCTTGATCATATGCTGCCTCCTGAAATGGTTGAACATTGACGAGTTCTTTTTGGTACCGTGACTTAGTATTCCTTCCATTTTCTTTTGATGCTTCCTGTGTTGTTCAGTATTTTGCCCATAGAATCCTTCAACATTGCAACTCGAGGCTTGAATTTTTTCTTCAGTTCTTTCAGTTTGAGAAATGACGAGCATGTTCTTCTCTTTTAGTTTTCTAACTCCAGGTCTTTGCACATTTCATTATAATACTTTGTTTTCTCAAGCCGCCCTTTGAAATCTTCTATTCAGCTCTTTTACTTCATCATTTCTTCTGTTTGCTTTAGCTGCTCTGTGTTCAAGAGCAAGTTTCAGAGTCTCTTCTGGCATCCATTTTGGTCCTTTCTTCCTTTACTGTCTTTTTAATGGATTCTTGCTTTCTTCATGTATGATGTCTTGATGTCATTCCACAGCTCATCTGGTCCTCAGTCATTAGTGTTCAGTGGGTCAAGTCTCTTCTTGAGATGGTCTCTAAATTCAGGTGCAGTACACTCATGATTGTATTGACTCTGGTAGACTTATTTTAATTTTCTTCAGCTTCAACTTGAACTTACATATGAGCAATTGATGGTCTCTTCTGTAGTTGGCCCTTGGCCTTGTTCTGACTGATAATATTGAGCTTCTCCATCATCTCTTTCCACAAATATAGTCAATTTGATTCTTGTGTATTCCATTTGGTGAGGTCCACATGTATAGCCACCTTTTATGTTATTGAAAAAAAAGATATTTCCAGTGAATAGGTCATCGATCTTCCAAAATTCTATCATACAATCTCTAGCATTGTTTCTGTTACCAAGGCCATATTTTCGAACTACTAATCCTTCTTCTTTGTTTCCAACTTTTGCATTTCAATCATCAGTAATTATCAATGCATCCTGATTGTATGTTTGATCAATTTCAGACTGCAGAAATTAGTAAAAATCTTTAATTTCCTCATCTTTGGCATTATTGGTTGGTGCGTGAATTTGAATAATACTTGTATTGGCTGGTCGTCCTTGTAGGCATATGGATATTATCCTATCACTGACAGCATTGTACTCCAGGAGAGATCTTGAAATGTTCTGTTTTTAACGATGAATGCAATGCCACTCCTCTTTAATTTGTCATTCCCAGCATAGTAGACCATACGATTGTCTGATTCAGAATGGCCAGTGCCAGTCTATCTCAGCTCTCTAATGCCTAGGATATCGATGTTTATACATTCCATTTCATTTCTGATGACTTCCAATTTTCCTAGATTCATACTTTGTACATTCTAGTTCCTATTATTAATGGACGTTTGCAGCTCTTTCTTCCCATTTTGAGTCATGAGTCATGCCACATTAGCAAACGAAGTTCCCGAAAGCTTGACTCCATCCACGTCATTAAGGTCAACTCTACTTTGAGGAGGCAGCTCTTCCCTAGTCGTATTTTGAGTGCCTTCCAACCTGAGGGGCTCATCTTCCAGCACTATATCAGACAATTTTCTGCTGCTATCCATAATAGAATGGCTAAAAATAAAATAAAAAAAAACCTGTGCTGTGCAGATGTGAAGCGACTGGAAGTCTCGTACATTGCTGGTGGCAATGCAGTGCCATTCCTCTTGAATTGTCATTCCTGGCATAGTAGACCATAGGATTTTCTGATCAAAAATTGGCATTGAGTGGGTAGCATTCCCAGGGGAAGAGCCAAGGAGGAAAGGAAGCAGGCAGCTCAGGCTGGCACAGGGAAGCAGGCAGCTCAGGCTGGCACAGAGAAGCCGGGAGTGCAGAGCAGGTGAGTCAGGTCAGGTAAGCTAGATGGCTGGACCCTGAGTGACACAGCATGGTTCTGTTTCCTGATAGGTTGATTATGAGAGCGAGGAAGAGGAGGACAACGAAGTGGGGGAGAATGAGGATGAGGACATGCAAGAGGAAGGGAACGTCTCTGGTGAAGGCACGCAAGAGCAGAACGAAGAGGTGGGTCCCAGCCCAGAGGAGGATGAAGCCCTGACACGGCCACAGAAACCCACCCGTGGCCAGGGACCCCAGGGAGCCGAGGCCGCAGAGCGCCGTATCCAGGCTGTGTGCGAGTCCCACACGTTCATCGAGGACTACAAGTACGACACCGAGGAGAGCCTGTGGTGCGAGGTCAGTGCATGCAGGCTGGGCCGGGCGCAGCTCAGCGCTACCCGCCTTCTCAGCAGGCTTGGGCCCTTGCCAGGCTCTGAGTTGGTTACTCTGTTGCCTCAGCCTCTTGGACACCAACTGTTTTAGTCCCAGGTTCCTTTAAGGATCTGGTGATAGCTAGACCCTCTGCTCAAAGCATAGCCACACATATTTTCCTTACAAACCCTCATGGGCCAGTTCTCTAATTCTTCAAGAATAGTTTAAATGTGGGTCTGATCTTCCAGGTACTTGTTGCTAGGTACTTTCAGATATATTCCTTCTTTTCATCCTCATTATAACAGGTGTTAACATATATCACAGCTGTTCTAGAGCTTCACTCTTGCCGGTGGTACAGTTAAGTACTTGACTGCTAGCCAAAAGGTTGGTAGTTTCAACCCACCCAGAGGTGCCTTGGAAGACAGTCCTGGTGATCTCCTTCTGAAAGGTCATGGCCTTGAAAACCCCATGGAGCAGTTCTGTTCTGCACATGCCATGAGTCGGAATCGACTGGACAGTAGCTAACACCACCACCACACGAGCACAGCCTCATCCTCAGCCTCTGGTCATTCTCTTAGAGATTTAATAGTTCCCGTAAAGACTGGCTTGATGCCTGTTATTATTGTTGGATGCCGTTGAGTTGGTTTTCGACTCATAGTGACCCCATGTGACAGAGTAGAACTGCCTCATAGGGTTCTCTAGGCTGTAATCTTTACGGGAGCAGATCGCCAGGTCTTTCTCCCAGGGACCCACTAGGTGGGTGCGATACCAGTGCTCCTTGAATGCCTAGCTGTCTGTAAATAGACTTACTCTGTCCTTTGATCCAGTTCAGTGGTTCCTAAACTGTAGTGTCGATAGTGAGAACCACTGACCAGGATGGACACAGCAGACGGTGTGCACCAGACTGGTAACTGAAAGGTTATTAAGAGTGATGCCGTGTGTGCAACAGCATCTCCATTGTTGTCACCTCTGATCTGGTGACTGAAGATGACCATCCTTTGGGTCATCCAGTATTCATCTAGGCAGACCCACTTGCCCCAGCCAAGGTGTTTACTGAGAGGCCTTGAAGGCACTCTCCCAAGGCACGCCGGCCATGGGGTGGGGTGGGGGTAGCCGTCTCCCTTGGCCCAGCTCCCCCTCCTCTTGCAGGTGACGGTGAAGCTCCCTCTGATGAAGATCAACTTTGACATGAGCTCCCTGGTGGTGTCCTTGGCCCACAGTGCTGTCGTCCACGCGACCAAGGGCATCACCCGCTGCCTCCTGAATGAAACGACCAACAAGATGAACGAGAAGGAGCTTGTGTTAAACACAGAAGGAATCAACCTCGCCGAGCTGTTCAAGTATGCCGAGGTAGGCGTCTCCTGCCCGGGTGGTCTGCCGGCCTGAGGCACAGCAGCAGCTGAGATCCTTCACATTCCTTGTCTCAGGATAGGCCTCAGAGTTTCCCAAGCTAATTGGAACACAACATTTTTTTCCCTTGAAATTAAATTACCACAAGTAGAATTGTGAGAAATAATTTAGAAAACTACTTCCACACTCCTTTGCTGAGTCGGGTGCCTGCCCTGCCAAGGCCCATGTGCCCCTTTCCATGCTCTCCACCAGCACACCCCATTTCTTCTCTGAGCTGTCTCTCGCTGTCCCCAGTTCACTGAATCCCCAGGAGTCTCCTGAAATCCTCCCAACCCCTGGGCACAAGTTGCCCCACGGAGTACTGAGCGTGGAACCCATAGAGCCCATCCTTGCTGAGCCTGAGCAAAGGTGGCCAAGCTCTCCATGCCTGGTGCATGTATCCCCCCACCAACAGCATCCCCTCCAAGCCCCCTTCTCCCCTGGAGCCTTTTACCGAATGCTTCCCAAGAGGGCAGAGCAGAAGAGAGCTCTTACCTCCTGAGAGTCGGCCACCAGCACCCCACAAGGCGTGCTTCATGTGGTGCTCAGAGAGGGGGCTGGTGTAAGCAGGGCTAGGCAGGCCTCCAGGGTCTCACTTGCCACCTGTAGACTATGATCTGTCATTGGGGTGCCGCTCCCACCAGCCGTAGCACAGAGCTCAGCGGGCCCCTCAAGACAGCGCACTTGGAGCCTCAGGCCCTGAGAGGCTGGACATACCTTGCGAGCTGACCATCCCTGTGCCACATGTGTGAAAAGTGTCTGCTGGGGGCATGGCCATGCCTCCCCAAGAAACAGGCCTCTCTGTTAAAAGGAAATTAAAAATACCTTTCTTAGTACTGAATGTAAACTGTATTCTGAATCCTCTCTCAAATCTGGTAATGAAAACGAGACAGGTCTTGGGGGCCCAGCCAGCGTTCCATCAACAGCTCTGCCTATACTATTTCCTTTCGCTAGTCTTGGGCCACCTCTCAACCTCTTTGTCATCAGCTGTCCTCAGCTGCCAGACACAAGGAGAGAGAGTGGCCAGGGTTGGATACCCAGGGGAAGGGAGTGAAGGCCAGGCCCTCTCAGCACACACCTCCCTCCTCCCCCAGGTTCTGGATCTGCGCCGCCTCTATTCCAACGACATCCACGCAATGGCCGACACGTACGGCATCGAGGCGGCGCTGCGGGTGATTGAAAAGGAGATCAAGGACGTGTTTGCCGTGTATGGTGAGAGGCCTCGCTCAGGAGCTGGGGGGTTCTGCAGCATTTGGATGAGACTCAGCAGGTCATAGTGCTGGTCTGAGGACCCGACGGGGTCAGGATGGCGTGGCCATCCAGATTCATGGTGTGGACTGAGAAGTGGGCACAGTGAGTGGTTTGCTGGTAGGAGGATCCCTGAGTGAGTGTGAAGATGCAGACACTTGTGCAGTCTGTGGGTGGCCTGTCGCCCAGGCCTCCCCGTTTCTTGGCTGCTGGCTTCTATGAGGAAGCCTCCGCTGGTGGCTCCCTCCTGCCTTCAGGGTTTTGGTTCCCAGGTGAAAGCAGTGCAGCTAGAGTCTCGTGTCCTTCAAGTCTGGATTCTCTGTTTCCTCTGCTGCTGTTTGTAAGTGGAAAGCAGATGTTGTCATAGCAACGAGGGATAGGGAGCGACTCCCCAGATGAGGCTTAGGTGTCAGCTGATGTAGCGAGTAGGTGGTGGATCTGGAGTAGAGCCCTGGCTGGGGTCTGACACCCCATGTCTGCTCCTTCTGGGAGATAGCTGGCTTGTGTCAGGTGGTGCTTTCCCACTGTCCCCCTCTCACTGTTTACCCCTTGCTTGCCCGTGTGACAGGCATTGCAGTCGATCCTCGCCATCTCTCCCTGGTCGCTGATTATATGTGCTTTGAGGGTGTTTACAAGCCGCTGAACCGCTTTGGGATCCGATCTAACTCCTCCCCTCTGCAGCAGATGACTTTTGAAACCAGCTTCCAGTTTCTGAAACAAGCCACCATGATGGGTCAGTGCTTTTGGCCTTCCAGCCTCCCATCGGGGGGCGGGGGCCTTGCCATGGCACCTCCCACCGGGGGGCGGGGGCCTTGCCATGGCACCTCCCACCGGGGGGCGGGGGCCTTACCCTGGCGCCTCCCACCAGGGGAGCAGGGGTCTTACCATGGTGCTTCCCACCATGGGGCGGGGGCCTTGTCATGGCACCTCCCACTGGGGGGCGGGGGCTTTACCACAGTGCCTTTACTGGGTGTTGGGGGCCTTACCACAGCGCCTCCCACCGGGGGGCGAAGGCCTTACCACGTGCCTTTCCAGGGGGAGGGCAGGGGCCTTCCCACGGTGCCTCCCACCGGTGAGCGGGGGCCTTCCCGCCTCCCACCAGTGGGCAGGGGCCTTCCCACGGTGCTTTCCAAGAGGGGTCGGGGGCCTTACCACAGTGCCTTTCCGGTAAGATCTGAAAACAGGAAGAATCTAGGGAAGGAGTGGGCAGCACACAGGGCACCGGCTGTGTTTTGGAGTGACAGAGAGCGTTCCTGTCTTTTGAACACAGAAGCACTGCTGTCTTATATAGTCTTCCTGGCTCTCAGAGACTTGGGGTGCCCCAGCCACTTGGCCTCAGTGAAGAGCCCCAGTCGGTTACGTCACCCCAGCTTCTCTCTTGGTGGCCTAACAAGCACTCTTGTCTCTCCCAGGGTCCCACGACGAGCTGCGGTCCCCTTCCGCCTGCCTAGTGGTTGGGAAGGTCGTCAAGGGCGGGACAGGCCTGTTTGAGCTCAAGCAGCCCTTGAGATAGCGGCCACCATAGCACGGCCCGTGGCCCGGAGGACCTGGGCGTGAGCGTCGCCTGGCCCGCCACTCGCAGAACGCACGAGGCCTGGGAGATGAGCCTCCACGGGGCAGCGTAATGTGACGGTACGAGGCACAGCAGCGACCTTGGGGTTTCGGAAAGCTGCTGGCCTCGGGACCAGACCCGCTTCACCTGGAAAGGTGACAGTCCCCCGTCTCGGGGTTGTCAACAAGATTTGGGATGTTTTCTGAGGCCCTCCACTGAGGCTGGGGCTTCACTGAGCTGCAGACGGCACCAGAGCAAGACGAAATCCCTAAAGAGAAGCCCCAGGGCGGGGCATTGGGAAGACTCCAGGGAGCAGTGCTTTGATCCAGGACTACAGCTTTGACTGCAGCAGGATTCTGGGGGCTCCCCTTCGGCCACATCTGCTCTTGCCTGCAGCACCAGCCCGTGGGGCAAAGTTCCCAAAGAGCCTCTCCCCAAGGATTGTTCCCCTGGGCCAAGGCAGGGTTGCATTTCTCCCACGTGCCCAGCTTGTGTACCTGGGCCAGTCCCCTGGCCATGTGTCTTTCCAGGCCAGATGAGCCCTGAGCCTGGGGGTGGTCTCTCAGGCCCAGCAGCTCACACCCACACATACATGCCCCCAGGTCACCCTCTGGGCTGGGACGTTGGAATGAGCTTGGCTGTCCCTGGCTCTGTGCTCAGGTTCACTGTGAAGCCTGCATCCCTCCCAGCAGGCGCTGCTCTCAGGTCTCTCAGGCTCCCCCTCTGGCACCAGCAGCGCGGCGCCCACCCACAGAACAGGCAAAGGGCTTGTATGGCTTTGTAAAGCCAGAGGCGGTTTCTGTTTTAGTCTAATGTTAATCTGGCTCAGGTCGAGTAATAAACATCACTGGGACTGGCTATTGGGAGAGGAAGAAAAAGACTTGGGGTTTTTCGTTTTTGGGCTTGGTTTGTGGTTTCTGCATTGAGAGCCCAGGACTGGGATTTCTCGGCAGACACGCCCGGCCCAGTCAGATCATGGGTCCCTCTTCCTGTTCTTGTCAGAAGAAGTGAGGGGAGAGCTCAGCCCCTGTAGCCCCCACATCACCCATGCTGGCCCCTGTAGTGCCACCTTCCTGAGCCAGCCCTAGTCCCATGGCCAGGAAAGCGGAAGCCTGTGGGGAGGGGTTGTGCTGACCTTGGTCTGGAATGGGAAGGGCTGCTGCCCATGAGCTTGGTCTAGGGGTTAAAGGAGAGGCCTTGCCAGGTGGACAGTGGCCATGCCGTGTCCTCCAGACACTGGTTTCTCTTTCCTTCTCCCTGTTCCCCTCTCCAGACATGTGAAGGGCCCCAGCCCATGCCTCCCACCTCCACACTGGGGAAAAACCTGGCAGAAACAGAAACCTTGTAACAGGGTTTACCAGGTGCATCAGGGCTTGGTACAGAGGAATAAGGACAGCTTGGGGTGGGGGTGGGCCTATAGGAAGGAAAGGTCCGATGAACCCTGCATTAAAGAGGCTTGGCATACAGGGGAGGGTGTGATTCCTCAAGGGCCAATTTACTATTTAAGCATTCCCACTTAAACAAGAGTTGAGGGAGAAGGTCCTCCAGTAAGGTCACCAAGCAGCCTAGTGGCTGTGACCTCCGGTCGGTGAACGGGCCACAGGCTCGGCCCCGGCGCTGAGTGCACGGAGGTGAAGGAGCACGCCCTGCAACTGGACAGGGCTGTGGACACAGGTGGTGGACTTCCGCCCTCGCTGCCCCCGTCCGTCCACACAAATCCTGGGCAGCTCTTTTCCACGTGTTTCTCTCCACATGAACAAGTCACTCACAGGGTATGATTATAAAACAGCACACCGGGTTTTTAAGCTGACATGGTGATGAGTGAGGAATCTGCCACTGTGACCCCCTTCTGGGATTGCACATTCATTCTAGTGCTCTGCCTGTCCAGAAGCCTCTGAGAGTGGCCTTCTTTGCAGTTGAAGATGGTGTATTTGCTGGAATAGTCTCAGGATTGTAAGTGCTCTTTCTCTGAGGGTGCCTTTGGCTTTTGGGAAGAGCCACAAGTAGGTCTAAGCCAAATCTGATGACGAACATGAATCATGCATAATACCATTCATTTTTAGTCAAAACAGAATGGAGTGTTTGCTGGGGTTCACAAACTCCTGAAGCTTTGAGTTCTTCCAGCCAGCCGCTGTCCTGGGACGTCCTCCTCGTGTTGCTGTTCATGTGGCGGTGTCCATGCCTGCTCGTTTGTTTATAAGATTCAATTGTTGTTTTAAATCTCTCCTTTCTCGTCTTTCATCAGGTAGGAACAAAACTCAGGACTGGATGAAGCACCTTGTCAGGTTCCTAGTCTGGAACTTGAACCTTCGTTTTTTTCCACTGTCCTGACCCTGACCGAGCTTCTCAGGGCTGTTTTAGGTCATTACTTTAATAAACTGCTTTCTGTTAAGGTGTCCTTCCTGGGTTATCTCCCTCCTCCCCATGGGGCTGTGTTTGAATCAGACGTTGGGGCCTTTAGGCCATCTGTACCTACAGGGCCTTAAGAACCACTTAAGAAGTGTCTGTCGCTTGCCAATCTGAAGATTTCAAGAGTTGGGGCTGTAGGGGCCAGGAAAATGCTCTAGAAGTAGGAAAAGCTGGGCCTTAAAGGATGAAGAGTCACCCATCTGGCCTCCCCCAAGTGGAGGAGGCCCCGGGAGGGACTACAGGTGAGTAAGGCAGAGTCTCCAGCTTCACATCTTTGAGGTTTAGGTAACTGAGTTCACTGGACCTACCTACTGCAGGTCTCCCGATCCTAGTGCAGCTTTCTCTCACTTGTCTTCCCTTAGGGTTTTTACTTTGATCACAATCACCAAAATAGGTACAGTCAGAATTTTCAAAAATTCCTACACCATCAATCCCCCATTTTTGCCAGAGGCCACTTAGGACAGGGTTCTCAGCCCTGCACAGTGGAGTCACCTGGGGAGGTTTTACATTCTGATTCTAGAGTCCCTGCCCAGAGGTTCTGATTTCATTGCCCTGGGGTGTAGCCTGGGCATTGTGAGTTTTAAAACAAATCCAGGAGAGTCTAATGTGCAGTGGAGGTTAGGACCACTGGCTTAGCCCTTTAGTTACTACATTTTTTCTCCTCAGAAAAAAATTTTTTTGATGGCATGTGTTTTCAGTATTGGAATGCATGCTTATAATTGAAACCCATTGCTGTCGAGTCAATTCCGACTCAGTGAGGCTATAGGACGGAGTAGAACTGCCCCATAGAATTTCCGAGGAGCACCTGGTGAGTTGGAACTGCTGGCCTTTTGGTTAGCAGCCACGCTCAACCACTGAGCCACCAGGGGCCCTCACTAATTGAATGTGTTTAAATTTTTCGTTGGTAATACAGATTTTGAGAAATATCCGGTAGTACAAGCTACCAATAAGAGCTAGATAAGGAATTTATTACAGGCGCCTTTCCATTAGGTTACATGGGGAACCTCTGGTTTTCCTAATATGACACAGAAAAACCAAAATAAACCCTCAGGGCTCCCTAACTATCACACAGGAGAGTTATAATTGTAATTGCAAGCTTATCTCACAGAAATAAAGGAAAAAAAGGCAAAAGTTTACCAAGCTGACACATCCAGGAAGCATCATGACTTAATAGAACACTGAACCTACACAACAGTGAGGCTTCAACTCTGGTCTGCTAAGCTCCAAACATTTCAAAAGGCACCCACCTTGAGACTAGATGCATTAGAACCGGAACAACACCTTACCTCTGAGGTCCAGAGGCATAAAAAGTGGCTAGCATACTGTTTATGCCAGTGGTAACGAAAGAGACTAGTCAATTACGAAAACACAGCCAGTCACCTCCTGTCAGTGTGATGACTTAAAGTGTGAGTCAGTCACTGGCCCTAGGTCTACCCATGAAGATCTGACCCCTGCTTTCAAAAAGTGTGTGTGCGTGTGCACTAAAACACAGTACCAAGGTAGCTGTCTGCAGGGTTACAGTGGGGTTCCAGGAAGGCTGCAATCAGATTTACCCAGCAGCTCAGCAAAGCCTCGAAGATCAGACAGGTGTGACACTTCCAGCCAGAAAGCAGAGAGCCTGAAGCTGAGGTCCAGCCCAGCACATTAGGGAGGCTGCTTGTGCAGCTTAAAAGTTCCTCTCATCAGGCACCACCAAGGGCCAGCCAGGGGAGGGGACTCTCAAAAGGCCAGTGTTTCACAGAAGCAATGCCAGTGAGAAATTCTCGTTTAAAAAGGGAAACTGTAATTGTTTAATGAGAATTGTACCTCATGTTCCTTAGATAGGGCCTCTGTCGTCTGGTGAGTGGTCATCAAGGAGCTGGATTCAACTCAGAACTCCTTACAGCTCCAGTTTCACAGCCCAGGGAAAGGCCCAGAACCTGGTTTCAGGAACAGGGCTGAGCCAGAGGCATGGGGAGGGGGATTGGGGGAGGAAATAGGGGGGCACTTGCCCCCAGCGCAAGTCGAAGGGGGCGCCAGAGGAGGCTCTGGATGACATCTGAAGCACCACAAATAATAAGGGCATCTGAGGCAGCCAGACAAGAGGGGAGAAGGTGTTTCTGTCTACTCATCTTGAAAGGGGAGGGGGCAATTTAGAGACTGCCCCTGGGTGTGCATTACCCTCGCCAAGCCTCTGGGCTGACCACCTCAGTTCACCTTGACTGGGCTCAGGTTTCATGCAGTTCCTCAGGTGACTGACCTCGAGCAGGTCTGGAACCTCAGGGGCTTGGGCTCCATGGCCTGGAAGGGAAGTTCCCACCCAAAGATCCCTGACGTGCCCATCTTCCCCCATCTTGCCGTCCACCCAACCTTTATGTCTGCTTTGTGCCAGGCAGCCAAAGATGAGTGAGCTGCATGGGTCCTGCCCTCACAGTTTTTTGGTCTGGTGCCCTAAACAGACAAGGCAATAGGAAATTCAGCTTCAGTGTGACCAGACCAAAGGCTGAGGTCCCACCAAGCATCATGTGAACATGCCCTCCGCTCCCCAAGTAGAATTATGCCCACCCAGCTGCAGGTGATGCTTTGTGGAGAGGACAGAGGGCAGGCACTCGGGTGTTCAGGGCCCAGGAGGAAATTGAAAAAGAATCCAGAC